GTAATGGATATACCTGTCAGTGTTTCAGTAATTGGACTGGCATCCACTGCCATTCAGGTCTTAAGCATATTTTGTTTAATGGAATTTACACTATTCTATGTTATTGTACATTTTCTCTCTTTATCAGTTATCCGTAAATGCTAGTTTGTACTGAGATATTATAAGATTGCATTAGTGTATGCGATAATTTTAACTGTTATCTAATAAAAAATCCATTTAATTACTTTACAGACATGAATCCTTGTCGTAGCAATCCATGCCAAAATAGAGCCTTTTGTAGCAACTATGGAACAGATTATTATAACTGTACATGTATAGCTGGTTTTACGGGCACCTTTTGCCAAACAAGTAATGACCGAAGCATGATTATTAATTAGCAGTAAATTAAGATAGTTATCGTATAAGTATGTGTTAATAGGGAATAAATTTCCGGTTTAGATTAGGCCATTTTTGATTGTGTACTATAAATTTCATTGTTCGATACAGTACATAAATACCGTTCTCTACGGAATTTGATTAGAATTAAATTAAGCTTAACAAGGTCAACAGGTAGACTCCAATATGATTAGCTCCTCAATATAATGATATTTCATTGCTCAATACAGTACATTAATACATACCATTCTCTACAAAATTGATTAGAACTAAAATTAAGTTCAAAGAGGTCGATAGATAGCCTCTAATGTAATTAGATTCTCAATATAGTGATCTAATAGACAGAATTTTAATTATTCAATAATTTGTCAACTGCTTTGCTTTAAATAGGAAACACTGAATGTCTAATTTATCGTAAAATAAACTACAAGAAATATCTTCATATTAATATTCTTTAAAATATTTATGGCAGATATTAACGAATGCTCATCTACGCCTTGTATGAATAATGGAACATGTGAGGATCAGGTCAATAAATTTCATTGCAACTGCGATCATGGATGGATTGGGACATTATGTGATTCAAGTAAGTACTCGAATGGCTTGCGCTATCTTAGGAAAGATAGCATCTTATAATATTGCTAATTTAATACTGAATGCCTTTCTTAACTTATAGGCATCAATGAATGCAATAATACTCATGGAAATGCCTGTGTAAACGGTACATGCGTCGATCTCCATCTTAACTACTTCTGTAATTGCAGTACTGGCTTTACTGGAGATCATTGTGATGTTAATATCGATGATTGCAATCCTAATCCATGCCAACATCAATCGACTTGTATTGATGGAATTAATCAGTATCGATGTCAATGTCAACCTGGCTATAATGGTACCAATTGCACCTACGAAATC